GTCAGCACAACTGGACTAAACCAAAAGCTAAGAAGTTTCTTGAATACAGTCAAACACTTTGAGGGACAGAATAGCAAGGACAGGGGTCTGGGCCCCATAGTTTATGGGGACATCTAGGTCAATTGGCATAGCAAAGTTTATTAAGAAAATATTCTACTTCCCTTTTTGGTGAGTGGCGTCTGGGGTCTTAAAAGCTAGTGAGCTGCCATCTTAGATGTATCAATCGGTCCGAACCCACCTGGAGCAAAAGAGAATGAAGAACACCAAAGACACAAGGAAAATATTAGCCCAAGAGACAGAAAGGGCTACATAAACCAGAGACTCCGTCAGACTGAGACCAGAAGAACTAGATGGTGCCTGGCTACCACCAATGACCGACAGGGAACACAATACAGAGTCCCTGATGGAGAAGGGGAAAAGGGAGGTGAAGAATTAAATTCTAGTAAAAAGATCAGATTTCATGGTTTGACTGAGACTGGAGGGACATTGAAAGACATGGCCCCCGGATTCTCTGTAAGCCGAGAACTAAACCCATTTCCAAAGCCAACTATTCAGACATAGATTAGACTGGACTATAAGACATAAAACGATACTCGTGAAGAGAGTGCTTCTTAGCTCTAGTAGATACGTGAGACTAAATGGGCAGCTCCTGTCCAGAGGCGAGATGAGAAGGCAAAAAGGGACAGGAGCTGGTTGAATGGACACGGGAAATCCGAGGTGGAAAGGAGGAATGTGCTGTCACATTATAGGGAGAGCTATTAGGGTCATATAACAATGTGTATATAAATTTTTGTATGAGAAACTAACTTGAACTGTAAACTTTCACTTAAAGCACAATAAAAAAGAGAGAGAGAGAAATAAATCTTCAATTTCCTTATCTTTGCCTTTAGTCATTGCTGTGTAAATCTGAATAACAGTTGTATTAACTCGTCTTCCTTGTAGGTGTATGGATATTATTGTATCACTGACAGCGTTGTACTTACGGATAGATCTTGAAATGTTCTTTTTGATGAGGAATGTGATGCCATTCCTCTTCCATTTGTCATCCCCAGTGTAGTAGCTCATATCATTACTACAAACTAATATCTTGAATTCTTAGATGACTTTTTGTTCCTTTACCACTTCTAAAATAAAAGCTACCATCATTTCTCACCTAAAGTACTCCTCCCTCATTCTCCTTTTCACCTATTACTAAGCTTTATACATCCTGCCTGTGTAAAACTTTGTATAGGACTCACAGCCTCACTTGGGTTTCCAATGCTACTGCCTTAATGTGGCCCATTATCACTTCTCACCAGGACCATTCCAGTCTCTAGTATTGTTTCCCCCAGTTAATTCTCTGTATTTCAATCAGTATGATCTTTCTAAAATTAAAATTGTGATAATTTTCTACTTAGTCGTTCTTTCAAGGGTCATCTTCAGTTTTCTGGTTAGCACTTACCAGTCTCTTCTTCTGGCCCCTGCTTCTCTCTCCAGCCTTAGCTGTTGTCACTTCTCCAACACATCCCTACCTCTCGATGACCGGAACTACTTGCAGTTCTTGAACCCACCATGCTATGCCACATATGCAGCCACATATCACAGCTCCCTTTGTGTGGAAGGCCCATTATCCCTTCTCTTCCCAATATTCTCTCCCCTCTTATCAAAGTGGATCTTGGCCAAACTCATTTCTACCTCTCCTTCAAAATTCAGCTTTTATACAGCATTTTCTAACAGCTGTCATTGAACTTATTATGCTGCACTGTTATTAATCTTTGATTTACAAGTCTACCATCCTCATTTGAGGGCACTTACTAAATGGCCTTAAGTGAATTTGTATTCCATGTATCCAGGTCAGTTAATGTCCCCCATTTCATTTCTTATTTTGTTTACAGGTGTCCTCTCCTGTTTTTTTTTTTTTTTTTTTTTTTTTGTTGGATGTGTAAATTCTTTTTTTTTTTAATTTACTTTATCATTACACATAACATATATATAAAGTACAAATAATAATAATATGAACACCCAGGTACTCAGCTGAATAGAGTATTATCACTCTATGTCCCTCCATTATCTCATCCCTCTCCTTTTCTTATGGGTATCCAATACTCTGAATTTTGTATTTATCATTCTTTTGTATTTCTTTAAAGTTTTACCACATACAGATATATCCCTAACAAGCAATTTTTTTAAGTTTTCTTAATAAAACTAAATTACCTAAACAAAACATACAAAGTCAAATAACAAAGCTTTCCTAGTTGTTATAACAAAGACTTTTGAATTTGGATTGGTTTGACATTAGGAAGACCAGGGCAGAAAGAAGATTTATTTTCACTAGAGTTGGGACAATGTATGATGAAGTGCAGGACAGTATAGGCTGGTAATTGTATAAGGTAGGGAAGAAGAGAGCTAAATAAATAAATAAATATTTTCAGCTAACCATAGCAGACAAAGCTAATAGATGGATGCTCTCAAGAGGTCTCGCTAGGTGGAAATAGGTCAGGCTTTTGGGGGGCTAGGGATTGGAGATACCCCTCAGATACATTGGAATGGCACCAAGCATTATTTATAAATGAGATCCTGATAGTTTGACACATATGAATAAGAAATTGGGCAAAAAGTCAATTAGTTTCAAACACATCTGAAGGGAGTGATAGGGATTCAGTTAAAGGCCTGAGGTACCAGACCATAAATTCAGTCCTGGGAAAAATTAATCACATCAAGCTGGACCCTCATTTTCAAAGGAATTAGGGCTGTGGGCAAGATAAGCCTCAAAACAAAGCTCTAGTTGCTGGTAGTGAGATTGCAGGTAGAAGTGTGGTCAGAAAAAGAAAGACAGGCTCCCTTCATGGAGGAATCAAAGAGCAAAGGAGGCAGGACTCATCTGAGGCTGAATCTCCTGACTGGACCGATCTGGTCCTACCACCTTGCCCCTACCTATGGGTGATCCCAGGGAGTTGAGCAAATCATTACAAAAGATTAGAGATGGACAAGTGGGATAGACTACCACTTGGAAAACAGATTTTCTCCCCCCCGGAAGTAACAGTCTTTAAAGAAAAAAAAAAAAAAATCTGTCATTTGTTTATACATCATTAAATTATTTCTTCTTGTAGTGTTCCGGGTTTTAAATTTATTTTGTTGAGTACTAATCTCTTACAGCATATATTGTGGAGTTCTCAGCCACTGGGCTCAACTCCAGAAAGGGTCAAATGTATTTCCAACAAATACAAAAGAAGAGCATTTCTGGGTTCAGAGAAAGAAGGATATATGATATTTAGGAATTCTTTTCGCATAACCATTAGTTCAGACCATATGAGTTGTTAGTTAATTAGAAATCTTATGATAAGTAAAAGTAAACAAAATGAATGGCAGGAGGACTTTTGATTTTAAAATGTATGATCAATAATATGCTCATTAATTCAAAAAACTCCTGAATACTAGCTATGAACAAAAGATTTACAAGGTTGCAGTTATCTTGGATGGTCCATGATGAATTGGGTACAGGGTTTCTGTGTTTGGTTGTGATAATTTTATCTTTATTTATGTGTCTGGTGGCGCAGTGGTTAAAGTGATCGACTGCTAACCATAAGGTCGGTGGTTCGAAACCAACAGTGGCTCTGCAGAAGAAAGATGTGGCCGTTTGCTTCCACAGAGATTTACAGCTTTGGAAACCCCACGGTCGCTATGAGTCGGAATCTACTTGACGGCAGTGGGTTTGAGTTTGGCACATAATACATGGTCAGTCATTATTTATGGAATAAATTGATTAAATGAATAAAGAGTATAAGCTATGTTATACAACACAGTCATGCAATAATAATAATAATAATACTCTGAGTTTGCAACTTACATAAAGTTGAATTCCCTCAAATGTATAACGCTTAAAAGGTAAATGCAAGTACCGTGGCAGCTCATTTATATAGCAGCAGCAGATCTGAACACCTACAAGGTAAATTTTTTCACAGGTAGGAACATTGGAATGACCCTGATTACTTGTCAACAGAAAAAAGATGCTGAGTGAAGAAATTTTCTCTTTCTTCTTTGGATCAGCAATCAGATTCACTCATAGATCACTGATTCATGAATAGCACCAGATACTTACTTTGAATTTTCAAGTAGCCAGTGCTTTGCAAGTGTTTATGCTACAAGAACATTCAACCATCTCTCTTTTTCTCTGCTGTGGTATTCCTATGAGTTTTAGCCAGGCAGGACTCAAGAGAGTTTCTTATATAGGCTCAGGTTCTTTTTATCAATGTTTTCTTTATGCAATTAAGAAAACATTTTCCCCCTTTACAGTGACGCAGGATTCTCTGAATGGTCAATATGTGCTAATAAGCTCTAACATATTCATTTTACACATAGAACACAGATTTATTTTTTAAATGAACATGCAAACAACTTGGGATGATCCAATTATGAAATACCTACACTGATTTCTTTGTCTTGATTTATTTCTCTGTAGAAGTCGGATAACAAAATATCCACAAAACCTATAAGTTTCAAGTGGAATCTTGCTTAAGCTTGAGACAATTATCAAATTACAAATGTGCAGAAAATGTTTGGAATAATTTGATGCAATCTCTGAAAACAACATGGTGTTCGATTTTCTGCAAGATGAGGGATATGCGATAGTTTAATATTGGAAAGAAAACTGACATGGCAAAATAATTTTAATATTTGCTATGCAATTCCGGATAAGGACACTTCAGGAATTAAAAGGTCACAAGGTTGCACTCGTTATACCTATTTTTCTTTTATTTCCTCAACGCTTCCTACAATTTTTCAATCATTCATATGAAATTATCCATAACTGATTTACTACATTGGACAGGAATTATTTTCTCATTCTATTTTTGACAAATATTTTCAAAGCTCATATATCATAGATATCAACAGAGGAAGGGAAATGAAATGGTACTAGAGGGAAAAAAGAGCAATGATGTTTATTGACTGCTAAGCAATTGTGGAAAAACATCTCATAGCGGCTGTTTGTTTCCTTTAACTATTATTTTTTCCCCTCTTACCTGATAGGTGCACCTTTGGCCTGTGCTGGTCTCAACAACACAGTTATTGTGGTGGCAGTTTCATTGAGAGAGGCATCAACTCCTTCGTAGTCAGGTAAAGTCGGAGCTGATAAGTGATTAATGAGGAAAAAAGTTTTAATCAATTAACTGTAATATCACCGTTAAAGATGAATAAATAATCCCAACTTAGGAAAAAATCCATTTAATACTTAATTATCTAAAATGTACCTTATTTTGTAGAATAACATACATCACTGAATATTAAAACTCTGGGAACCTAAGGCATCTGAAGGTATTAAGACAAGATTTGTTGTTAAATTTTAAATAATAATCTGGCGACTTGTGATACACACCTCAAAAATTTTGTGAAGATGCTGCAACTTTTAGGTTCCCAAGACCTCGAAATTGGCAATGATGGGATGGGAAGAAGGTAGTAATAATGTAGACTCTGGAGAGTTTTGGTTACGGAGACACATATGGAGATGTATGTGGCAGGCACTGAGATAAAGACTGCTGGTTGAGGCCGTGCCATTTATAATCTAATGGTTGGAGAGCCCCAGTGTTCTTATCGGGACCATTTTTACCACTATAGAAACCTATCAAGCAGGTGTGGTGAATGAAAATGGGCACCTTAGTTTTTATTAGTTGCCAGATTTTCGAAAAGAAGAAAGTTAATGGGAGAGACTGCCTAATCTTGAGCTTGGTAAAAGTAACTTCAAAATGGCTTTAGATTATTTCCAGGTAGAAAGATGTTTAAAGGAGCATATACACTCAGTAAAATGTGTGCATTATCAGAAAGAACTTAGAGCAAATGGCCTCTAAAATTTTTTTAAATGTGTTTAATTCATTCCTTTAATATTTACTGAATACATATTATTACCAAGTTTTCTGGTAAGCTCTATAAATATAAAGACAAAATATGATCTGATTAATTCTGATTTATGAAATTAAAAGTAAGGATTCAAATTTTATAAACCGTGAGATTCTTATAAACAAATAAAAAATATTTAGCCAAAAGAGGAAGACAAATTAATTGTCAAAATGGTGGTGGTCAAACTAGGGAGATCAGAATTACCTGGAGGGCTTGTGAAAACAGATTGCTAGCTACCTACCACCAACCTCCCCTCCTGAGTTTCTGATTCATTAGGTCTGAGGAGAGCCCTAATTAATGTGCATTTCTAGAAAGTTCCCAGGTGATGATGATGCTGTTGGTTCAGGGACCAAACTCTGACAATCACTAGTGCAAATTAGTGTTGGAAGTTTGAAAGGTGACATAGAGAAGACTTTAGGGTCTTGGTGATGCTTGTGCTAAATCTTAAAAGAAGAGTAAAAAACTTATCAGAAGGACTAAGCATGGAACAAAATTCTAGAGAGAGGAAATAGTATGTTTGAAGACCACAAATCTGAAAGGACATTTTGTAGCTGAAAAGCTACAGGCATTTACTATGCCTGGAACTTTGGGTTCAAGGTTAGAAGTGGAAGTTGGGAGCACATACGCCATGAAAGGCTATGACTGCTAATCATGTGTGGATGTTTGGACTTTATTCTACTGAACACAAGATGAGTTTGAAGAAATTTAAGAAGAAGATATTGTTGTTAATCAGTGGAAAAATACACTGAAGTAGTATAAGTCTAAAGGCAGGAATACTACTTAAAAGATATTTCAAAGATTTGTTTTAAATATAGTCCACATGGAAAAGAAGAAAAGTGACATTAGAAGTAGGTAACTTATACGAGAGTTAATCAGGAAGCAGAATCAACGGATACTAAACATTATACATGCACAATATGTATATGTGTATTTATCCATCTACATTCAACTATCATGCCTTCAATAACTTGATTTCACTTTTATTTAAATTGCTTTAAAAATGCTGAGGAATATAATTACTGGACTCAAAGGATAAAAAACAATAATTTACCTCAAAAATTCCAATGATGCTGAGAACCATACTGACCATAAATTTTATCAGACTTATCTGTGCAATAATCAACATGATTACTGCTTGTTCCCTAGGTATACTGACTGCAACCAAGTTTTTAAAGTCTAAATCAAGTCCCATCGTACTTAGCCTGGTTAAAGTGAAACAACAGCTAAATAATTGGAAGAATTTTATGCCATACTATATGGGTGTTCTGGTCTTCAATTATCCATTTTCTATTCAAAACAAATGTAATGTCTGAGCATTGACATATATATAAAATGTAAATTTGTTCAGTGCTCTCATTTTTACAATTTTATGCAAATATAGTGGTAGATCAAATACCTCAGTGGTGCAAACGTTTAACACCTTGGCTACTAACTAAAAGGTTGGATGCTCAGAGTCCACCCAGAAGTGCCTCAGAAGAAAGGCATGGTTGTCTACTTCTGAAAATCAGACACTGAAAACTGTATAGAGCACAGTTGCACTCTGACACACATGGGTGGCCGTGAGTCAGATTTGACTTGCTAGCAACTTTTTTATTTATTTATTTTTTAATTCAACATATTTGCAAATAAAATTTTAGACTTAATTTGGAGAATGTGTAGCTACTTTTTGGTGCAAATGTTACAGATTCTTCTAATGCTATTATAACATATCACTAATACATGCTATGTAGAATTATAAACAGGAGCATTTCAAATTCAAGATTAGTGTTTTAGCATATTAAATGCCTCATCCTTAAAAAATTTATTACTCAAAATTTCCTGCATTAGATATATAATATATACTTACTTTAGTAATCTTAAGTAAGTAAGATAAAACATAGAAGCTGGAGTAGGTTCATGGCATATTATAATGGTAATTGCTAGCAAGCATTTAATCAGGTTTAAATGATGATTTGACTAAAGGAGAAATTACATCTGTAAACAATTTAGTCAAATGCAAACTATAAATTGTGAGCATAATATAATGTAAAATTTCATTATATTTTCTTGTGAAAATTCTCCTACACATCTCCTTTTTCAAATTTTGATGCCCATACATTTATATGAGATTGCTAAGAGAGAGACAAGAGCACATATTTGTTTAAAATTATCAGAATGTCAGGAAAAACAGAACATAGAAAAAGTATGTGGTGCTATAGTACTAGAACAAGGATCTTCTGCCATTCTTTTGATAAAAGTTCATTTAATAAAGATTTGAGGCTGTTAGTGTTTATAATAAACTATGGAAAATTTTAATAAAGATACAATTTTTTTTCAAAGGAAGTTGTCAATTAAAAGTGACTATCTGAGGTGTATTTGGACATATAACAAGATAATTTGCACTCTAATGATTCTTTAAAGTGTCTTCAATCATGTAAAAAGACATTAAAGATTCAATAAACAAGACAAACTACTTTTTGTGTGTATGTCATTCTCCACCATGTGGTATTACAAACCAAGAGCATGATCAACCCTGTTTGTACTTTACACATTTGCATACCTGAGATGTTGGTTGTCACATTGATGGCTGTAGCTGGTCCAAAGCCTTTGACTGTGCTGGCTCTTATGAGAAACTGGTAGGTGGTCCCTGGGTGAAGATGCATAAAGACATGGTGTGTACTGTTCCATAAATTTGATACAGTCTGGGGTGGTCCAGCCACTGGAACTGCAGGATCAAATGACCTTATGCTGCTATAGCTGACCTGTTTTAAGAAATATATCTCTTATTACATATCCACCCTAAGAAATATTAAATTGTAAATAAACCCTTCTTAAATAAGGTAGTATTCTAAATAGCATCTCTCTCTAGTTAAACATAATTTTTTTCATCTCTGTTCCTTCTCATTTTTGATATGGTTATTTTTCTGTAATTCTCTATCTCTCTATCATCTCTCTCTATCCATCTACCCATATATAAACCTAGATAGTTATATGGACCAGACCAATATACATCCCATTTTCTTCCATCAAAAAACATCAAACAATATATTAATATACTTAAATATGAATATACATTCATACTAAATCTTATGGTTATAGACTTCAGTGTAGATGAAACATAGAAAGTGTTAAACAAATGTTTGTTATTATCAACATTTTTCTATACTTTATTTTGTCGAAGTTACATAACAAATTTCATGCAAATATTACTCAAGAATGCTAATATAGTCACACATTATAAGACTATGCTAGTGATTCCCATTCCCATGATGCACTTCACACCAAGACCAAACCAAAACCACTGCTGTCGAGTTGACTCCCACTCACAGCAACCCTGTAGGACGGAGTAGAACTGCCCCATTGGGTTTCCAAGGCTGTAAATCTTTACGGAAGCGGACTGCCACATCTTTTTCCTGCAGAATGGCTCATGGGTTTGAATCACTGACCTTTTGGCTAGCAGCCGAGCACTTAACCACTGTGCCACCAGGGCTACTGATGCACTTCATAGCGACTAGAAATTTAGGCATTTTACGCTTTAATCAACCGTGACTAACCAGGAAAAGAACTATACATTTGTGCAATTGAAATAATCCTTTGGTTTCTTCATTTTAGCTTCTCATATTTGAAAATAAGATAATGATTTATATTCAAAGTTGACATGAAGCTCTGGATTAGTCAGGTTCATAATATATTTTCTTTTTTTAATATGAATTCTTTACTCTGAAACAATTGACATTCAATGGTCTCACCTAAATCACAATAGGAAATACAAGCTTCTTAATTTTACATAAAGGAAAATCAGGGATTTTTATATGTAATCTTTCATTATAACCATCAGTAAGTCTGTTTTGCCAAGGCCAACTTTGTTTCCCTAAAAAATGCATTGAATTTTAGGGATTTGAAAATTGTAGGTACCAGACAATATTCGTTTTGATTTTCAATCTTGGGATCAAAGAACTTATAAATCAAAACAGAGGGAATTAAAAATGATTTTAATCCCCTAACCCCACTTACTTCTTTTCCATTATTTCCCTCTAAACTTTTCCTTTTTCTCTCCCTCTTATTCCTTCAGTCCATATTTCAATGAACTTCCTTATTCTCCCAATACCTCATACTGAGTGATGATTCCATTTGGATCCAAAGGTTCCTTCCAGTTCAAGAAGATCTTATTTTCAAAGGATGTTCCTTTAAGGGATTTGACTGGTACAGGGCCAGGCACTACAAATACATACATTTTTTGGTTAGAAGCTCTTCATATCGGAAACAGAACTAGCTAAATAAACCAAATTAAAAATAAATATAAAATAAACATGTGCATTAAGAAAGAAATAAGCTATATGATCAGTATTCTGAGTTTATTTTGATATCTGGGAATTTCAAGTCAGTCTATGAACTTCTAATACAGAAAATTTATAAATGTAGTTATTTTTATTCAAAAGAATATAGTATCACCTTAGACAGCTGAATAAATTGTACAGCTAGTTTTCTCTGTTGCATGCCTCTAATAACATGAAGATCTCATTTGTAATTTGTTTCAAGAACAGAGCTGTATTTCCCTGAAAGATTTTTTGAAGATTATGATAAGCCCCTAAAGAGTTTCTATAAACAAAGTTCATAAAATAATGAATTATAGTAATAATTAACACTCCTTGGAATTAAAAGCCAAATCACATGGCAGTAAATTGAAATGTTTCTCGATAGTTAATCTGACTTATAATTATTAAATTTCTATAATTAAAAAAGAGAGAGACAGTATTGGTGACTACAACTTTTAAAAACTTGTTTAATGGTTCAAAGGTCATTGCTTTAACCTTTTAAATGAAATGCATTTCAAAGCTAAGAACCAAATCATTTTATAACATTGGACATGTTTAGAACTAAACAGTCAACATAACTAGTTTTGAAGTGTCCCCAGGCATGACAAGATTTGAGAAGCCTTCACTCCAGGCTTTATTTGCAAATGTCATATAACTGGCAATACCCAGTGGCGGCACTGGATAATTTGTCAGCTTCTGTTGAAAAAACACGATTCAGGATTCATTTTCTATTGTGTGTTTTCCTTTTGTAGATTTTATATAAATACCTAGTTGTTATTTATTCACATGAATACCCAACTGCTAGTTCTAATAAATGGAAAAATAAACGAATAATATCAATGTTTTAAAATATATCCTACTCATCCTAATTTGCTTTAACACGTCTTTCCTTTGAAAATATCAACCCCAACATTCTGCAAGCACAGTTTTTAATTAATATTTTTTTCTTAATCTAACATTTCAGTGAACTTCACACATAACATTATCTAGAAATGAAGTTTAAAGTATATAGCAATTTTGTGAGGACAGAAATAAATTAAAAATCGCCAGATCAAAGGAAATGCTTTGCATTGTGGCTAGCAGCATCAAGAATTTGTAAATGGTATGTCACAAAATTAAGATGTATTTCAATCTATGGGGAGACTATGAATGATGTTATGACCTCTGGGACAGTCAACGTAATTTGGCATGTTCGTAATAAATTTATAAAGGAAAGGAACCCACAGTAAATAGAAGAGACGTCAGTACTGAACTTCAGAAGATGAGTTCATGCATCTGTCAGCAGAAGGTATGGGGAGACGCTAACCAAAGGCATCGACTGCCTCTTTGCTCCACAGTATCAGCACAGGCTGTGTAGCTGATAAAGACAGACAGGCCATAACAGATCCTCAGTGCAATTCGTGGTATCTGCTGAGGCTGCCATGGGCATTAGTTTGTTTTCTGAGGGAGTATCTATTGTTTCTCTTCTACTTAAACAATGCAAGCTGATGGATGTCATTAGGGAAAAATATTTCTCCACCTTCAGGTGTCTCTCATAAAAGGTGATTGAGGAGACAGAGGGCAAAACCCCCAAATAGTGAATAAATGTTTATTTGATGGTATTATAACTGCCTATCTTCACTCAACACAATTTGGCTTGCAAATACTATGAAATGGTGCATGTATTTCAAATTGTTTACAAATAGAAATACTTTTAAATATTTGCATAATACTGCAATGAAAGGGGTAGAATTGGAGAGTAGCTTAGCTTCTCTAGAATTTTTGTATTTCTTTGCTCTTCTTATACATATTCTACTTTGTCAATTGGATTAACTTTAAGTACCTACAGGACATGTCTGTGAGACGGGGGAAAGCTATTTGTGGAAAACTTATGGAAAAGAGTGTGTCATACCACTAATCCTGTACCTGGATTATAAAATGGACCACAGAAAGAACTAGACAGGTGAAGTACAACACATACTCACACATACTCAAAGAGGACAGGTCAGGGTGTGGAGCGCAGACGAACTATATTCACTACATTAGGGAGCCCTGGTGGTGCAATGGTTAAGTGCTTGGATGCTAACTGAAAGGTCAGCAGTTCGAACCCACCAGTAACTCCTCAGGAGAAAAGACCTGGCAATCTGTTCCCATAAAGATTGCAGCCCAGAAAACCCTATGCGGCAGTTCTACCCCATCCTACAGGGTCGCTGTGAGTCTGAATTGACTCAACGACACACAACAACAACAGTGCATTTGGAAGAAAACAATGCTTATAAACAAAGACAGCATTTAAAACTACTTATGATTTGTCTAACTACAACATGAAGTTAATAGGACCCTTATCATGGCAGCCTGAAGATTGCCAAGTAATGCCACTTCACGTTTCTACTCTACTCTAAAATTACCAATCAAAACTTTCAGTGGAGACAGAATGCTGATTTTTGTTAACCTGCTTTGTGATTTATTTGAGAAATGTTTCAGCTATTTTTTTAAGGATAGGAAGTTTCTCTAAAATACAGCTGTCAGAATTGAAAAGAGAGGGCAAATGAGATGTGGGTGGGGAAAGATTATATGAAATAAGCATTACATTCTCTAAAATGTAATAAACACATATTTAAAAATAGTTTTGTAGTCTCAAAAAATGTCCCCAAACCAAGCTTTTCTGCTGAGCTAACTTGATAATACTGATTTTTATGAATGTTGGAATTAAAAAAATGAAAACAAAACCTTATATAAAAAACTTCTACCAATGCATTAGAAAAATGTACTCAATAAATTAAGTACAAATTCTACCTTTGGGTTCTGGTGGGAAATCGTTCTAGCTTTGCTCTCATGATTTATGGATGTCTGCAGAATTCTTTTCATGAAATTATACCTTTTTATTAGACGGCTGATAATTTATTCTTTTTCTATGTATGGAGGGCAGCAATAATTTAGTAAGACTGACTTAATCAGATCGTCATAATCCATTGATCTTTGCAACAATAGATTTTGATTTAGATATTCTGCCCTCCCCCTCAGAAACATCAAGATACATCAAGTATTGCACGTAGAAGCTGAAGCTCACAGGGCAGATGGAAGACTAAAGCACTTGCAAACAAACTTCAAAGAAAGTTTGTACTTTGATCATTAAGTCTTACACATACAACAAAAGGAAAAACAAACACACTGCAGAAGGGATTAATCTGTGGTCATACTATCAAGTCATAATAATATGCAACTCAGTATTATTAAAACCTATAGAAATTTTAAAGCAGAGGTTAAGAAACCCTACGATTGCAAATAATATTGAAATTCGAATATATAGTTAATGGTATTTTACTCTTAGAAGACTATTTCCGGATAAAATAAACAGCACAGCCATGAGTTTGATCAACTTAAGACATAATTTAAATTCCATAGAAACTTATTTTCTGATTAATAATCTAATCATATGTGTACCCAAAAATACATTTTAAAATTGAATGCAATATGAGAAAGATTATATAAGCCTGATTGCATTCTTTTGTTTACAGGAAAGAAAGGCAGACTAACAAACCATACCAAACAATACCATCAAAATGAATTGTATTGTTGGAGGGTGATTGGTGAAAGCAGTACAAAACTCATGTAACTGACTCTAAAATTACCAATTAAAAAATTATTGTTTTTAATTTAATGTGCAGGCAATTAAACATGTGTGTATACTCTTATTACTAAACACATGAGTTACAAGATGTCTAGTGGGATGCAGATATTTTAATATTCATTCCACTCTCTGAGAAATTAAGATTTCTTTAGAGCTTTGGATCTATGCTTAGATATCCAGTCTCTACCATCCACCAATGAAACACTTACCCCCAATCATTCTTTCTTGCACAACCATGTGTTTCATTATTTGTGTGTATATTTATAACAGGACAAAGTTTTTTAGCTAAAATAGTGTTGCTGCTTCAGTTAGGTGCAAGTTCAAAGATAATAGCTGAAAAGTTTATCTAAAAACAGACAACGATGCATTTATCATAAATAAGTCTAAAGTTTATACTTTGAAATTACAGAAATATGAGAATAACTCCATGCATACTTTTAGGACTACAGTAATTGTTCCCTTCAAAGACTGAGCTAAATGAGGTTCAAGAACTCTCACTTCCCCTAATCACAATGAAAACAATCAGGACAAGCCAAGGTCATTTCCACTTCTCAGAAGGGGAAAGCTTGAAATGATAAGAAGCATTTCTAGAAACTATGGCACATTAGTCATTTCATGGCAATTTCATACTTGGTAGGCACCAAACTATATATGTGACCCTAAAGTTCAGAACTTGAAGCAAGTTGGGAATACTTGGGTATGAAATATATCCTGTTTTATGAAACACAAATAAAAATGTAGTCATGCTATCAAGCTATTTAAGTAGAAAGAATTTTAGAAGGGGATAGAATTCAAGAGATCATCTAGTTTAAAATCTTCATTTAGAGTTGAGAAATGGACAGCCAGATAGGTGAAAGGATTTGCTAACGGTACCGAGGTATTAGAGCCAGGACTTACAGCCTTATTCCTGACTCCTGGTCCAGCTTTGCCCAAGCTCACTATACAGCACATTTTTGTTTTTTTTTTTTTTAGCTACCTGTTTTCATTCATAAAGGAAAATTTAGAAAATGAAATGTCTTACATCAAGAGAGTACATTATCATCATTTGCAGACTTTTTGTATAGTATCCAAAACATTTTTTGTTGATCCGGAAATGTCTTCATATTTATACTGATCATACATTGCTAAACAAATGTGCACATATTATAATATTGATATAAATGTCTGTCTCTATTACTTAATTCAGAAGTAGTACACATATAAGTAGATAAAGTGCAATTACTTGGATGTCAGTAGCTTTTTTATTAAAATAAGATGTAAAAAGGATGCTGATATTGTTTTTGAATTTATGGAAAATGGTAGCAACTAGTATTACTTTGTAAAATGCAAAAACCTAATTTTTTAAAACATCAAATGCATTTGCCAATATGTAGTTGATATAGTGCCATGAATAGTGAAACTTATTTTTGAAATTTAATAAGAAAAACATTACAAACTTTTATTACAGTTCCTACTTCAATCACATTGTATAAAAAGAGAAGACAATAGAAGTACATTTGATTTAGTATTTGGATGCTTCTCTAAAGAATATTAAGCATTTTTTGTTAAAGACAAACTCTTTTCAATGTTCACCTCAGATTTCAGGGTCCAATGGAGTATTAGGTATTATAGGGAAAATTTTAAGCAATTATATAATTTCCTCTTTTAAAAAACAAAGTATGAGCATACCATCTTCATCAGTTTGAATAATTGTCTCTTCACTCTCCTTCCTCCCTTCTGGATTGGTTAGGATCATCTTGAGGCTGACGTTTGTATAAGGTGGTAGATGGCTCACAACATGCTGAGGGGCTTTGGGGTCCATGTCCAAACAGTCTGCCTTGCTCTCATTGTGACCACGAAAGTAATGGTAGCAGATAGTGACATTAAAAGTGTGGCAACGAGTAATGTTGTATCCCAAGGATTCCCAGTCCACAGCAATGCGTCTTGCCTGTATCTCAGCAATCTTTAAAGTCTTCGGGGTTCTCATAGGTTCTGAAAAATAAATAAAAAATTCAGACAGCAGTCAACTTCACCAGGAATAATCTTGAAAAAATAAAACACTGAGCATAATATAACATATGTTAATATAGGAAAATGTGGACACCCTCATTGCTATTCTCATATTCTTTTTTTATTCACGATATTAGCCTTGAAGGATTCAATCAGGGCCTATGATTTATCAATAGGAAGAGAAATAAAATGTAATATGTCAACAATCCGTAGTACTCAGGAACTTAGTGGAAAAATAAAAACCTGAAAACATGGCCATAATGCCTATATTGTTGCTGTTGTGACTGCCCAATTCCCTGTCTTTATTTTCTTTTGTCCTTATTGAGCAAGTGAATTAGCTAATATATCATAATGGATAAGAGTCAACATGTTCTGCACTATGATTTGTCATGTCACCAAGCTATGCTGTACACTAATTACTCTAATTGTGGCACTCAACTACCATTTACAAAAAATGATGCAGATATTAATTAGCATTTATTATTTTGGTAATGATGTTCATCAAAGCAAAAAAAAAAATTCTGAGAAAGATTTCAGGAACACATGTGGATATTCACATTGTCGTCTTTCCTTCTTGATCTCTTTTTGTCATTTACTAGGAAACACACAGGTCTGGCAATTCATTCACTGTCAACCAAACCAAACTGGGAGGTGAATTTCCACTCAGCTGGAAAATGCTGGCAGAACTAGGCACTCGGAAGACTGGATTCCATTCATCACTGCTTCCCAAGTGTATTCTTTCCCCATGCAAGACTAATTTTAATCGTTTAACTTAATCAAAATAATTACTTTATGAAAGTCATGTTTATGACAATGTCTACAAAGCAAAGAAACCAATACATAGCATAACCTTAATATATTGATTTGATATAGAGAATAAAGTCAAGGCCCAGGTCATGGTCTTCTTGGTGCTGCCCCCTTAATTCACTAAGGATAGTCAACATTCTTGCTAAATGTTGACTTGCAAATCTTGCAAAATCAGTAGGAAAAAAAGAAGAAAATAAGTAAAACAAAAAATGACCAATATGGGTGTTTTAATAAATTTTCATCTTTTGAGATTAAATTCTCTGTTCTGTGAAAATAACTAGCTCAGTTACAGATGGCAAGTCAAAATTGGGATTCCAGTTCAACATATTTAATATGTGATCTGAAATACACACTAGTGGGGCTGTTTAATTTAAAACCTCAAAACTATTAAATAACACACACACACACACAAAATCAATGAATCTTCAGTAGAATCTGATGCTTAGATTATAAATGCTGTCTACCAATCTTTTGACTGTTCACAGTACCCAGTGTCCTTATTTTACCGCTTTTGTTTTATGTGCTACTTTAGCACTATTAGTAGGCTGGAAGGAAGCTGTGTCTCTTCATTAAAAAAAAAAAAAAAATCTCTTTATATGTGTAGCTCTATGCTAACACTTTCCCCACCAAGCGCAAGAGTGAGGTGATGATACCTGTAGCTCAGTCCAGTCAGAATACTGAAAACAGTCTTCAGCACCACTGTCAACCAACTGACCAGGCAGTAATAGCGAGGATCACCATATAAATTCTCAGATAAACTGTGATTTTGCTGCCTGTGAGGTAGCAACCAGATATAATCTAGTGGCCATGTTCAGGGAAGGTCATACTTTAAAACTGGAAGAGGCTGCACAGACCCAGCTCACTATTATTTCCTCCCCATTGCTAACCACCACATCGTCTCATGGTCTTGTTTTTCCCTCCGGTTCCAGTCTCTACAAAAGGTGTAAGATTAACCGATGTTCCTCCTTGGAGGGTGGAAAACAAGTTACAATGAGCTAGGAATGACAAACCCAACAAAGCACCCATCTTGGGACAAGAAAACCAGGATGTAACCTGATAATCCCCAAGAAAAGATTAACTTATCTGGGATGTGACCACCTCAAGGGGGAACTAACACAAACTCCTAAGACCCATAATCCTGTCCCTATAAAAGCCTTCAGCCCATCTCCACTTGGGGAGATAGGTTTTTTGGAGGAATCTATTCCCCTCTGTCTCCTATATATTGATATATAATAAAATTTTAAAAGCATGCCTCGACAGTTCCTGCACCATGAAAAAGACAGAGTAACTCTACATTCTCAATTATTACGTTCGTCAGAATGGGCTACAGATATATTTATTACCTATTAGGTAGAAAATGCATAGAGTTCACTTCGAATGTACACTGTTTTGGTGTCCTGAAATGCTGCTTATATTGGTACTCACAGTGAATTAAATTAAAAACTTCCATTTAAAATTAGGGAAGAGTAGTTTATTAATCTTATACATTTGTGTATAAACCATCATCATAATTACAGTAAACAATACTTCATTTACTGGTAAAGATAACCAAAGAGGTGAGGAAAAAAATGGTTTTTGAAGAGGCAAATAATCTTTCTACAAGTTTAATACGGTCTTTAAAATCTATTGTTTTCTCAGTGGCATAAATAAATGCTGCAAACTGCCCCACTGTTGCAAAAATAGTGACTTAAAAGATAATTTTACTCTCCCCTCAGGGCAATGTTCTCACACAAATACATAAAGTAAACGCACAATTCTAAAGGCAAACTCAATTGTTTTAAGCTCTGTGATATCTCCATTAGCTCAAAGAGAGTTGTCTAACTACACTTCCTCTCAACTGGCCATAGAGTTTTTTTTCAGATTTTACTGACATGAGACCTTCTCAGCAATATATATATAATAGGCAGTCTGCTATGCAGCCCCTCTGAATTCTATTAGGTCTAATATGGGCTGACAACTATACACAAACGGCTTTTTATATTACAGTCTTTATAAATAACAGTGACTTGAGACTGCTCTACGACTATGAAATTCATTGAAAGGAATTCTATCAAAGAACTCAATAGTAAAATTGCCTAAATTCCTCACGATTGTCCATTATTTATTGCACTTCACTATTAATTCCATTATATTTCTGCGGTATAAAAACAAATTAAAATATTAAATTTCTAAATCAGAATAAGTATTTGAATGGTCACAGAATAACTGGAAGCAGAAAGATACTGTTTCAAAATCACTATGTTATATATGAGCTGGGTGTAAGGGCTGTTTAAATATTAAATGAGATGATTTAAAGAAATGACCTAGCATTGTGAATAGTACATAGTGGGATCACAATAAATCATCTTCATAAATAAACAACATAAATAATATCTAGGGTAAAACAATGGAGACCAAAGCCAAGTGTTTTGGAATTTGCTAAATGTTCTTTCTCCTTCCCAATTTTTCAACTTTCCATTCTCAAATTTTTGTTGGGTATTTCATACATGTGATTTTATATAACAGTTCTCATTTTTTCAGCTGTTCTGGTAAAAGGACACTTGGGAAAGACAGAGAGATTGCAAAACTTGTGGGGCAAGATTTTGGTACAAACTTGGAAAGAAACATAGCAAGGGAATGACCTTTGATAGCAAAGGATCACATTAAAAGACTTAAACCAAACCTTCCGTTTCTTATGAAACAAAAATAGATTGTCTACACTAGACACTACGGGGCGGGGGGTAATAAAGTAAATAAAACATAATGCTAGACCTCAAGGAGCTTGCTAATTATTTAGTAAAGATGATAAGCTAAGGAAAAAAAAGATAAATAATATAAGAAAGTATGATATAAGCAGCATATGAATGGTATAAGAATTTAAGGGGAAATAACTTCCATCTGGAAAATAGAGGGGTCATTTGTGTTATGTCTCAATGGGTAAAGATAATATCTATAGACATATTTTGAGTAAATGATACAAACATAGAAGAAACTAGATGAATAAAAGTGCAGAACATAGTTGGAAAAAATATGTAATCTCATCTGGCTGCTGTACAAGTATCCAGCAGGAGATAATATAGGAAAAAATGGTTGGGAAAATATTGGGAAAACGCTGGATGTCACGGTAAGAGGTCGGACTTGATTTAATAGGCTATAGGCATCACTAAGGGTTTTTGAGTAAGAAATTAACATAATCAAACAGTTGATTTAGAAATATTAATGGGGTGATTGTGTCAAGATGGACTGAAGTTTGGTGGAGACACTGGTGGTTAAGACATCAAGACTTCAATGAGTTAAGGGAGAATAAAGGGCCAAGCAAGAAGGGTGACAGCAAAACAGAATAGATGTTACTGACATGAAGAAAAATTGAAAAGCTTGGTGGCTATCTGAATTTGAGATATGTAAATGGATACAATCTAGCTAATGTGTCCAGACTGAATGACTAAGAAAATTATGGTGGTCTTAAATAAACAGAGAAGACAGAGATCTGGGATTAAAATTATCAAGTAATTCAGTGCCATTTATTTATTGTTTTCTGTTGGCCAGGAGGAGTCCTGGTGGTGCAGTGGTTAAGAGCTTGATGGCTAACCAAAAAGTTGGCAGGTTGAAGCCACTAGCTGCTCCTTGGAAATCCTAAGGGGCAGTTCTACTCTGTCTTCTAGGGTCAAACAAGGCTATGAGTTGGAATCTACTCAACAGCAATGAGTTTGGTTTTTTTCTGTTTTGGTTGGCCAGGAAGTATACTAGTAACTATGACTACAAAGATCAAGTAGACAAGGTAATCTAGTAGGCAAAGGGTGTAAAGTACTGCTTGAATTGATCTGCGTTTCAGATAACTCGAAGAACATTCTGAAGGAAACAGAAACAAAACAAACAGTTGCCATTGACTTGATTCCCACTCATGGTGATCCCTATGAGTGTCATAGTAGAAACGTGCTCCATAGGGTTTTCAATGACTGACTTTTCAGAAGTAGATTGCCAGCCAGGCCTTTTGTCTAAGGCAAGAGGTCTAAATGGGAGCATCCGTCAACCTTAGTCAGCCGATGGAATACTCATCCTTTCAAAGAGGAAAAACAAGAAGAAAGATAAGAGAGAGGAAGAAGGAGAAGAGACAGAAGGCACAGGGAGGAGAAGACAGAGGAGTAAAGAGAGGAAGAGAAAGAAAGAAGAGAGAGGGAGAGGGAGAAGAGAGACAA